TGCTCTTCATATATGATTTGTATTAAAACCCTAGCGGTGCCTCAATTTTCGCAAAGTAATGTGCCTCAAATCACCGGATTGTGGCAAAGAGGCACGACTACCTCATCTAGAGCACCCTGGTAATGCTGCGTTTAAAACCCTGAGGTTTCATGTGGTGCTGGCAATAACAGGCAATACGGTGCAAATCGCTGTGACGGTTGCTCGCGGCATGGCGTGCGCCCCAAGCTATTATAGTGTCGGCCTGTTCTCCTTAGCAGTGCATCCGGTAGTGCAGGCCAATTGGATCGCACGACAACATTCAATCCTGTCCAGCAAATGGAGACTTTCACTAAAAAAAAGTCTCAGTATTAAAGGGTCCTTCACTTTCCTTATTATACAATTTGTAGGACCTTCGCGTACATAGGACCTTCAGGCAGTGAAGGGACGCGACGGTTGGACAGCCAATCACAGGCCGTCTGAGCTGCGATATGCTCCGATGATGGCACCCATTTTCTATTTTCGGCTAGTTTTGGCAGCAACAGTTATCACCTAGCCCGCGCCGGATGACGGCGAGCTCTTGTTATTTGTGGCAGCGGCCTCACCGTGCCACATAGGCTGCTTCACACATTTTCGCTCGAAACTGAAGTTCGGACCCCACAAACAAACCCATCTCGCCACGGCCCGCCGCCACAAACGTCAATGCGGTAGCGAGCGGTAGACGCACCGCGCGCGGCTTACGGCCGCTTCAACCTGGCCAAGCTGCACCGTTTACCCTCGGCGCGCACGAAGTCATCCTCGTCCGGTCGTCCACCCCGTTGTTTGACAGCGGCCCGCATTGACCCGGGCCAGGCCAAATCGAGGCCGGTAACCAGGCAGTCATTCTCCATTTTCCTGCTTAGCGCTCAGCCAGCAGCCAACATGGAATTATCCACACAGCCGTCGCCGACCACGGCCAAGAAGCTCGGCCTCGAGTCGGGCCAGGCCCTCATGGCCGAGGGCCCGCAGGTGCTGCACCAGTACGTCGCCACCAAGATCGGGGCCGCCATGGGCCGCGCCATGCCGCAGATGGACGTGCGCTTCAACAACCTCTCGGTCACCGCCGACATCGTCGTCGTGGACGACTCGGGCGCCAAGCACGAGCTGCCGACCATCCCCAACACCATGAAGAAGGCGTTCGTGGGCCCCAAGAAGCGCATCGTGCGCAAGGAGATCCTCAAGAACGTGAGCGGCATGTTCGCGCCCGGCAGGATCACGCTGCTGCTGGGCCAGCCCGGCTCCGGCAAGTCGTCGCTGCTCAAGATGCTCAGCGGCCGCTTCCCCATTGAGAAGAACATCACGGTGGAGGGCGACATCACCTTCAACAACGTGCAGCGCGAGCAGATCGTCAAGCGCCTGCCGCAGTTCGTGGCCTACGTGAACCAGCGCGACAAGCACTTCCCCATGCTGACCGTCAAGGAGACGCTCGAGTTCGCGCACAAGTTCTGCGGTGGCGAGCTGTCGAAGCGCGGCGAGGAGTTGCTGTCCAAGGGCTCTCCGCAGGAGAACCTGGAGGCTCTCGAGGCGGCCAAGGCCGTGTTCGCGCACTACCCGGACATCATCATCCAGCAGCTCGGACTCCAGAACTGCCAGAACACCATCGTGGGCGACGCCATGACCCGCGGTGTGTCCGGCGGTGAGCGCAAGCGCGTGACCACCGGCGAGATGGAGTTCGGCACCAAGTACGTGACGCTCATGGACGAGATCAGTACGGGTCTTGACTCTGCGGCCACGTACGATATCATCAACACGCAGCGCAGCGTGGCGCACACGCTCCGCAAGACGGTGGTGGTCGCGCTGCTGCAGCCGTCGCCCGAGGTGTTCGCGCTGTTCGACGACGTGATGATCCTGAACGAGGGCCAGGTGATGTACCATGGCCCGTGCAGTCGCGTGGAGAACTACTTCGAGAGCCTGGGTTTCTCGTGCCCGCCCGAGCGCGACATCGCTGACTACCTGCTGGACCTGGGCACGAACGAGCAGTACCGCTACCAGGTGCAGAGCTACCACACGAAGCAGCCCCGCGGCGCCGGCGAGTTCGCCGAGTCCTTCCGACGATCGAACATCCACCGCGAGATGCTCAA